CCCTCACGAGAAGAGAAGCACTGGCCACAAAAGCCACTGATGCCGCGATGGCACGTTTTTACGGCCTGCCAAAAATCCACAAGTCAGGAGAGCCTCTACGTCCCCATCGTCTCATTACGTGGCACCCTAACCTTTGGGCTGTCAAAGTGGTTGTATTAGCGACTCTCTTTCCTAACCAAGGATTCGCCATGGACAGTTAAGTCGGCTGAAGTGTTCTTGACGCGCATTCAGTGTCTTGAAGTAGAGGTAGACGAGGTGATGGCGTCATTCGATGTGACCTCGTTATTCACCTCCATCCCATCTGTACCAGCTATGAATATTATCGACGGCCTTCTTCGTGAAAAATAGGACGAAACCGAGAAGCAACTCAAACGGGCACACATCATCCAGCTCCTCGAAATGTGTCTTAGGACCTTTTTCACCTTCAACGGCCAAGTGTACGAGCAGAAGAAGGGGGCACCAATGGACTCTCCTTTGTCTGGGCTCATTGCCGAAGCAGTTCTGCAGAGGAATGAACTGCTAGTCTTCAGCTCAGACCCCCCGAAGTTCTGGGCCCGATACGTAGATGACACATTCGTCATATTAAGCGAAGCCACGTGCAGGCTTTCCAGGCATTGTTGAATTCGATTTTTCCAGACATCCAGCTCACCATGGAAAAAGAAGTCAACAATCAGTTGCCTATCCTTGACATCCAAGTTACAAAACTGGCAGACAGGAAGATAAGGACAACGGTCTCCCGTAAGGCAACTAACGCCAGGCACATTCTTCACTTCCAAAGCAACCAACCTGCTGCTCACAAACGCAGTTGTGTCATAACCCTCTTCCGACGTGTCCAAACACACTGTAGTGACGACAGTGGGAAGCAGCAGGCGATGAAGTAGACTGTCCGCTTTCAAGCAAAGACAACACATCTATCTTAACACTGATTTTATTAACCTTTTATTCTCCTCATCTTTTCCGAGCAGTTTTCTCCATGACTCCGAGAAAGGACCATTGGGAATTTAGGAGATCCTCTTGAAACTATTTTTCGCTGCCTCGTGTCCCTCGGGAACCAAGATGTCCCCATTAACCACCACTCAATCAAACGAAACCATATGGAAGTACTCGGTTTAAACTGCTGCCGTTTCGTTGGCTACTAACCATCATCAGAATACCCACTACTCTAGTCCTCTGTCCTATTTTCCTAAGTGGTTTTTTTTTCTCTTACACGCTTTTTGAGAATAGTAGCACGTTGAACTCTGCCTTCATTTTCATTGTAGGAGTTTTTTAACTGCGTATATTTATTTTTCAGTTCACCATAATTGCAAACCAACGTCAAATATTACCCTAAAAGGACAATTTTTGCTGACATTATTTCAAATTTGTACGTTTATTTGTATACATTGTCTAATTCCTTTTTGTTTGTTTTTACCGAAACTAATTTTGCATAGATAGTGCCTTCCTAGCGTTAACAAATATAAATTC